TTTCTTCTGACACATCTATCTTCCTTCTTTCTTATGTATATTACTCTCTTGTAATATCTTTAACCTCCAGCACTTTTTGGTCTTATATATGTTGAAAAACATGACTTGTATTTTATCATAGTCTCGCTATTTATGTATTTCCCTCAGCCATGAAATTTTGTGTAAAGTTTGGTAATTTAGGATCCTCCCCCCCCGACCCTTAATTCTTGTAATGCCTTGTCTTTTAGCATTTGTTACTATAAATGGATGTAAGTCCAATGTATTATTTTAGTATCAAATTTTTACTCTTTAATTAAATCCGCTGATATCGAAGCTTTTCTTTTAGTAGTCAAATTTTCTGTTTTTAAAGGAAAATATGCAAACCACATAGACACTTCATTGTTTCTGTGTGTCTGTTTCAGAAGGCCAGTGATACGGAAGGAATCCAGTTAATAATGTTAAACTCACAAACATGTTGTAAAGACTGACATTTTCTTTTTCTTTTCTGATGTCTTTTATGATCAGTCGGTAAAGATTTGCCTTTCATTATTATTTTTTTGTTGTCTTTTATTTTCAGTCGGCCGATGTTGCCAAAGCAGCTGACTGATTTTGTGAGTCGTCTGAGGAACCGCTCCACAGAGAATGGACATAGCGGTACGCTGATCGCTGTTCTTGTTGATGGGCCTTTGTCATTTACCTATTTCAGTTCAAAATTTTTGCCCGATCGATATTTTAAATGGACATTACTTCTTAACACTTTGAGGTCACTTGCTGCAATAATACGACTGAAAATTATACATTCCAGTCAATTGACGCAGTTCTGTGACCCCCCCCCCCCTGGGAAGTAGTTGTAGCCATTCTCCTGGCCGGGTGACGAGATAGGGTATTTTGTACTGCTGGCTGTGTGTTTGCAGAGTGTTAACATGACTAGTTTAGGCAAAAAGATGATAATAGATAGCATTTGCATAGCGCAAAGTCCCACCCAACAGCAGACTCTATGCGCTTTACAATCTACATTATTACACCAGCAGACCTGATAGCATTCTGAAACAATCTCCACTTCCTGGAAAGTGTACAGTGCAAGCTGCCATTTTGTAAGTGCTGACTAACGTACTGACAAGATCTTAAACTGTCTATGGTTAGGTACCTATTTCCACCTGGTTGAAGTGAGGAAAATTTGTGTAAAGTGCCTTCCCCAGGAACGCAATGTCAAACCTGAGATATAAAAAAAATTGTTTTTGTTGGTTTCATAGCAGTAATTATCCGCCGTCGGCTTGCTAGGCCAGTCATGGTTTCACCACCGCCCCTTTAGCCAGCAACATTTCGGGGTGACCCGGGTCGACCTTCACGGCTAGCGTAACGCCTCAGTGACATAAAGTCACACCGTACTTCACCCAGACCCAGCTATCCCCTACTTTGTCCTGTTTCCACCTCCCCCGACGAGGACGAAGGGTTGGACTTTGGGAGGCAATATAAACACATTCTGCAAAAATCTGTTATCTTAAGTGTGTCTTGGGTGAAGATTATAAATCAATCGGTGTATGGGTAGAATTCTCTGGTGTTGCATAAACTCATCAAATCAATGACTCGACCACATTTTCCTGTATCCCTCAGTTGGAAACTCAGATGGAGATCCCCCAGGCCCTTGGGTGAGGATGAAAAGCTTGTTTTCAAGGTAAGATAAGAAATAGTATGATAAAACGGTTGAACCTGCTCTAAAGACTACCTGTCCTAGACTATCGCCTGTACAAAGGACCACTTCCCACTTCTCTCTCTCCCCCTTTAATTGTATTTTTTTCTTATTTTATAATGAAACTGTCCAAGAGGACCACCTGTCTAAGATTACCATTTTATCCGCAACAATGGGTGATTGGCATGGATAATTCAGCTGTACTATGGTATGAATTTAGTTACTTTTTTAACAAAGTTGGGCTTTCTAAGAGGCAGAACTTCCAAATTTAACATCCATCTCACTTAGCAACTGAGCGGGATTAGAAGTAGAAATGGACTGTTTGGGAAGCTATGGATCAGAAAGAAAAAAAAAAATGAAGATGAAGCATCTGTGTGTAGTATACATAACAGACTGAAGTGCTTGTATACAAATACTTTACATCCAAGTATGTTATCGGGGAACAAACAACTACAGTCGAACCTGCGTGTGGTTGGCGGATGCTCTGGTATAGTTTGCTCCTTCTTTCCTATCAAACATCTGTCGTCCTGATCTCTCCTTTTTTGTGTTTGTTATTCTCTTGTAACTCCTGTAATCTTTGGCACTTGTATGACCTTTTTGTGTTATACTAGGGCAGTAAAACTCTTATGGAAACTTTTAAAAAACTAAAACAGTGAAACCTGTCCCTTGTGGGTGGTTGGGGGGTGCTTTGGTGGGGTTTGCTTTTTCTTTCCTATGAAACATCTATCGTCCTTATCCCCTCTTCTTCTTTTTTTATGTTTGTTACTCTCTTGTAATACCTCTAATCTTCTGGCGCTCATATGACCTTATGTAGTTGCGAGTGCCGTAAAACCGTAAAACTAAAAACCGGCCCATAACAGTCACTCAAGATCAGAGAGAAAAGTGACCATTATTGACAGATGGCTGTTGTGGACAGGGTCTGACTTATGGTCACTTACTAGACTTGACAAAATCAACTAATGATTTAGATCTGAAATCTTTAGTTTATCTCTCCATTTTATCTCCTTCCAAATTATTATCCATCATAACATGTTTTTGTGTGTGCGTGTGTCACTTCACAGAAAACCTGTACCCAAACCAGCGGATTACAGCGATGATGATGACTTCAGTGACGGTAAAAACTTACGGAAATTAATAAGTTTTTGTATCAGATTTGCAGACTTGTTTTTTTGGTTAAAAGATTTATTAATGTCAATGTTTATCTTAAACCAGGAAATGGTTTCATCCTTTGAATTGACAATTCTTATCTTGTAGCCAAAAGACAGAGGCAAACAGCCATCTATCTTCAACAGGAAGACATCCATATCAACAATGTCCAAACCAAAGTCGCCAGCGTTGTCACACGAGAGGTAGCCCTCCTCAGTGACACCGATTCATTTACAGTCTGTCACACATATTGCGAACACACTCATAGTGAAACACGCACAGAGCCGATTTTTAGGTCCCGCATTTCTTCCTATTCATGCCTATCCTTTGTATTTAAAACACGTACATGATGAAACTATTTCTGTGTCCTGCCGATTTCGCTTTGTGCGTGCTAGACTGTAAGTGTAATCTTTTGCTTATTGTAGTAGTGTAGATTAAAAAAGCCCAGGAGTTGTTGAAAAATCACTCCATGTAATAGTGGCATTTTCTGAGTGTTTTGCTTTTGATTTCCTTATCTTGGAAAGTGCCTGTTTTCACCACGATGCCTCACATTTACAGTTACCATTTTTATGTCTCCCCTCGCAGACCCGGAAGATGATGAGCCAGGCGCTGAAGACGGCACATATGTCAATGTGCCTAAACGGGCTCCTCCAGTAGACAAGAAAGGTACTTATGATCAGTTAGTTTTTTTTTATTGTCAAGGTCATACCACAACTGCAGAAGGGGCTCTCATGGTCTAGAAGTTATGGTGTTCGCCTCTCATTCAACAGGTCCCGAGTTCGGATCTTAGCAGCAATGGAAAATTTTGTTTAAAAAAAAATAAAAAATTTTCCTTTCACCTCCTTTCGTGCTCTCTGCTTTCATCTTCACTTTCTGACCCCCTTCCCATTAATCCCTCCTTTGGCTCCTACTTACTGCTGTCTTTCAGTCGCACCCCTGATCTTAGGATAGATAAGATCACAACTCCCAGCCCTCGTGGATAAAGGCGAAAAATCCTGAGGTCCCGTGTGCAAGTTGCGCACATTAAAGATCCTAAGGTGGTTTTAAAATCGATAAGACTAGGCTTCGGCCGCCACCCGGGCAAAATTCAAAATTATTTCTTTCCAAACTGAAAATGATTGATGTGTCCCGCACCCTGGTATGGCCTTATGCAGTTGCGAGTGCTGTAAAACTCTTGCCAAAACAGCAACAAAAAAACATTCACTGCATCAAAACCAATCCCACTTAGATTAATCTTGTTCAGTGTTGATCAGTCTGATGTTGTGACACAGGGGATCCCAGATTGAGTTTTGAAAAAGTTGGTAAGTCTGCTACTGCCAAAGTCATTTTTGGTTGTTTTGAGAAAAGTAAAGAAAAATAGTGCTAACCTGAGAAACAACTGTTGGAATTGACAAAAGTGAAAATTCTAAGAGTAACTGGGTTTTGGGTTCATTAAACAAACCCTGCTGTATTGAAGAAAAAATAATGGCCATTTTTGTAATTTCAGTAACTAGAAATCTTAAAATAAGGGTGTAACAAATTATGTTTTGACCATTATACTATTGTAATTTCTGTAATGGGGAGAAACACAAATGACCAGCATCTGTAATGTATGATTAGGTTCTTCATCTCTGCAAGCAGAAGATGTGAGTTTGATGCCTGAGTTGAGAATTTTTTTTTCTTTATTTGAGTACATCCGTTTGTATGCTGGGATGTAGAATCCTTCTCAGCTGGGATAGCTATGACATTGGTAGAGTCGACGCAGCCCACCTCCTGAAAGACCTAAATTGTGTTGATGGGAGCAGAAACTGAAATGGTACAAGGATGGGAGCTGAGATTCAGAGGAACAACAAATATGTATGTATATATATATATATATATATATATATATATATATATATATATATATATATATATATATATATATATATATATATATATATTTATATACCTGAAATGATACATATATACCTGAAATGATATATATATATATATACCTGAAATGGGTTGCGATGGGAGTAAAAAGTCAATTGGTGTATTGTGTATGTCCTCAGAGCATATTTATGCCAACGCCAGAGTGATCAACAACAACAGACTCCGAGAGAAAGAAGAGAACAAGGCTGGACGCGAAGTGGTAATATTCCCTGGCTCTTTGTTTCTTTGTCTGTTTGTTCATTTATTCCTTTATTCATTTGTTCCTTTGTTTCTTTTAATCTGCTCTTTCTTGTGTTGTTGGTAGATTAAAAATAATTATTTGAATAGTTTTAGATCTTTTTCTTCTTCTTCTCCTCCTCCTTCTCCTCCTCCTCCCCTCCTCCTCCCCTCCTCCTCCCCTCCTCCTCCCCTCCACCCCTCTCCTCCTCCGTCCCGCCACCGCCGCCGCTGGAACTCCCAGTCTCTGATGTGAAGGTTGCCCACCAGGGCGGTGCCACTGACTGAAGTTGTCTTTAGGCCATTCCCAAAGGGGGGATATTAGCACATGTTCTTATGCGCTGTAGAATTGTAAATGGGCTGATTTATCAATGTCATGGTTATACTGTGCCTGAACAACATAGGGGGAACTGCTGCTTTTTTTTCCCTCATCCCTGCTATCATCATTTTCCTCTACTTTTTTTTGTTGTATGTTTGTCACTCTCTTTTGCACTGCTATTTCTGGGGTGCCTTGATAGTCGAAGCGGACTTTGTGCTGTTGAGGCTAGACAGGTGAGCAGAGTAAGCCTGAATCCTCATTTGGACTTTCCTGTTGACATCCACCCCTTGGCGCTCGTACGACCTCATGCAGTTGTGAGCGGCGTAAAACCTTACTAAAACAAACGAAGGTTACTGTTCGCCGCAGGTTCTCCAGCCCACCAGAGAGTTTTGGGTCTCTCTGCTGACTGTTGGGCCAATATTTCCTTCTATCTAAGAGCTTCAAGCATTGGGCAGGCTTGTAGTAGAACTTTTTCAATTCTTTTATTTTAAAATGATTTCTGCAAGTTATGCCGGAGGATGAGTATTAGGTAAAGCAGAAAATGCTGCCACCTTATGATTGTATCGCGAAGTTCTTATATATACTAAGTTTAGAACAGTGTCCCAATCTTTACTGAATTATTTTTGACATTCCAAGAAAGTGAGTTTTCTTCTTTGCAACCTTTTTACTTTGAGTGCGAAAAAATTGTGCAGTGTTTAACTTTCTTTTACTTAGCAGTAAAAAGACAGCTGTACATTTTGTGCCTCTTTTCAAGTTTTCATAGTGAAATCATATAAAAGTAAATGTTTAGTGAAAATGACTGATCTTTTGTGAAGACTGAAAAGAGAAAATGGTTCATAAATATTTTCTGCAAGCTGGAAAAGGGCGACATGGGAAGTGCTCTTCTCTTATTTCTTTTCTGTGAAATGGTTTAAAGTCTCCCCGAAAAGGACGGGTAATGCAATGATAATTTTTCTCCGTGAAAACTTGATATTGGGTTGGCCATCTTCCTCCCAGCTCAGTGAGCGCCGATGTAATTTCTATCACTCTACTAGCTCTGACATCAGGGGCAAGCTGTGGTGGAATTTTTTATGTTCCTTTCTTTTTAAACTGATGGTAGGAGGGCGCCACTTGTAAGTCTCTTTTCTTTTTTTTTTTTCTCTATGTTATTTCTGTCCGTCTTGCCTTTTCCCTATGCCAAATGACTAATGTGTGAATGTGCTTATTTGTACTCAAGCAAGCAACTCTCACTTTCAGAATCCGGACGGTTTGGTGTACGTGACAGTGGACTTTCCCAATGCACAGGCGGAAGAGAAAAAGAAGAAGAAGACAAAGAAAGAGAAAAACAAGGGTAAAGAAGTCGAAGGCGAGATCAAGTCAGACTACTCGGAGATCGACTTTGCCAAGACGGCTGCCCTCAACGAGAAGATGAAAGTCGAGGCTGCTGCAGCAGAGGCGGTTGAAGCTGAGGGGGATTTGAACACAGACGCTCGGGGTGTGGACGCTGACGGTGATGGGGGAGTACGGGACGGAGATCAGGGGATGGAAGATGGAGATCAGGGGATGAGAGATGGAGATCAGGGGATGGGAGATGGGGATCGAGGGGTGGTGGCAGACGAGACTCCAGATGCAGACAAAGATGGTGGGGCTGACGATGTGGTTGCTGATGGTCACATAGAGAAAGAGCCGCCAATGCTGTATGGTGGAAACGAATCTGTTGGCACTGCTGTGTGAAATGGTGAGAGGCATGGAAGTAAGGGTGGCCTAGATATAGTTCAAAATGGGAATGCCATAATTCTGAAATTTTAGAGACCTTGCTAGGGGATTCTATTTCTCTTTAAATTTTTGTGGCTCCGAAAAATGACGAAGGTTTCACTCCTTTGAAGCCGTGGCTGTTTTGAAATGTACATACTTTTTGTTCCCGTATTTCTGAACAAGCCCGGCTTATGCAAGTGGTCGTGATGTTAAGGCTTTTCGCTTGCAAGAGATAGAATTCTAGACGTTTTGGTGGGTGTGCTTAAGGTTGCTCTCACAGTTAGTTAAAAAGATGCTAATTGGGAAGATGTCTGGCGGAAAAATACTCCAATGCTTCAATTTTTGGAAGGATAAACTGTCAAATTGCCCCTGCTTTCCTTGTCTGGGGAATATTTCAGATGGTGAGACCTGAATTATCTACTGAAACAAAGTATGGAAACTGAAATCAGTCGTAAAAGCTAGCTCTGCTCTGCTTCATAGATCAGCGATACCATAGAGGTTTGCCATTTGCCAGGCAGTCTGGTAAATGCTGGTATGATGCTAACGGGGTCACCAGTTAAACAAAATGTATTTGGAAGACAGGGACTGATTACAGTGTTAAGTCAAAAAGTGAAATGGGTCTGCTCTGCATAAGGATAGCTTGACTGACAATTTTTGTGGGAAAGGTTGACTGGGATTTTAATGTATTGTGAATGTGGCTTTTAGAAGTTTAGTAAAGTTGTTGTAAATAAATGTCAGTAAGATTCCATTGTCCTGGGTCAGGGAAGAAAACTTCCTGAAAACCCCAATGCTTTTCTCGTCTGAAGGACTCCTTGTGCAGACCCTCAGTGACTCTGTTCATGTCGATCTATGCTTACTGCGTCAGCAGTGTCAAATTTGAATGTTGTTGCAGTCGGTCTGGTTCTCTTTTTCCTTGGATTTCCAAGGGCTTTCGGTCTTGAATACTTCTCACATCCATACAGAGCACAAACTATCAAAAGAGCATGCAAAGCTCAACTGCACAATTCGAAAGAAAGAAGAAAGAAGCAAAGGTAATACTTAACACATTTGTACTTGAGGCAGCTCACTTGTTTTTGTCAGTCATTGCCATCACCAGATTTGTTCTGATCTGTCCACTTTTTGTGATAAATGAATTGATGCAGACCTAAAAGTGCCTTACTTGAGCTGATGTGCCTTTTTTATGCCATGGAGAATGTGATAGAGCTTCTTTTATGTCACTCTGATATAGAATACTGAGCAATCACTCACAGTAGTGCTCCTGGTTTAATCAGCAGACAGTTCGTTTTGTTTAATGCCATAAGATATAATGTTTGTAAACACTGACTTATGTTGTCTTTTGTAGCGTATGTTATTGAAGTTTGAAGTGTTTGGAGGATTTATCTTTAAATCTATATAGGTTGTGCAGTGCACAGAGCTTGCTGCTCAGTGGGAATTTACACCATACAAATGTTATAGATTATTATGATGTATTATATTATGTCAGTTTGGACCAATCCCCCCCCCCCTTGCTCCCTTTTGAAGCTTTCTTGTGAAGTTTGGTTTTATGGAAGATATTTTTTTATGTGTGTGGACCAGATGTCACAGAAGTCATTCAATAGTGGACCAGATAAGTGCTTCAGATGTATGTGTGATATATATCAATTTTATATAAGAATACTTCTGCAGTAAAACCTTGGTATAACATTACAATTCTCTCTTTGGACTCAAGATCTTGAACGTCTTAGCCATGATACGTATTGGCTAAAAAGCAAAAAAAAAGTGGCAGTGACAGGGAATGGTACTGAGTGTTATATATATTTATTCACTTATTCAATCCCTGTACATTTGTTTGTATGAGGGGCAGAGAGATGAGAGGGACTGGGAAATGCAAACATTCACTGATGGCAAAACGACAACAGGAAAAACTATGGCTTTTCCTTTCTTTGTTTTATTCTCACAATGTACTCCATATGTTGTGAACAGACTTTTAATCACTAAGTTTTTTTAAAAATTAACGTTGCAGCAAAAATACGTTTCATGTAGGTACATTTTAGAAGGTAGCTTTTGATGAGTAAAAATAATAGTTTTCATAAATTTAGAAAGTGAATGTCACAGCTGAGAGTACATTATAACAAGGTTTTACTGTGGGTGTATTTATTCAGCCTATAATGAGGAGATGGTTGGTGAGCGCCACTGGTAGGTCATACTTCTTTATCTTTCTTATTGGTGGTTTGCCTTGCCTTTTCTCAGAACTAAATGACTGTCATTATATTGATATGGATCTCTTTACTCAAACAATAGCCTCAAATTGTCGATGTCCAGTTGGCTGCATTTTTTCCTTACCCCACATTTGACATTTGGCTTTTGGGCTTTGTGGCACAGGCAAGTTTCCTTTCTTTTTTTTTTTTTTTTGGTTTCCATCACAGATAATATATCTCAATTAAAAAAAAAATTTTTGCAGTGGTGTTTACGGATTTTGTATTCTGTATTTTCTGAATTTGTGAATTTATTTTTACAAAGATAAATTTTGATAGAGCTATAAACCAGTTTGACTGCAAAATTTGTGAAGGTCAGTACATGTGTATGGGATTGTGTATGGCTGCTGATATATGTTTTTATTGATGTGTTGTTATTGTGATCATGATCCTAGTTTGGCATCTTATGTTGCGTTTATTTGATTAGTTGTTAGAATACTAGTCAAGCCAAAGTAATTGTTTTGAAAAAGATATGTGGTTCCTGATTTTAACATTTTTATTGTTTCTGTTTGCTGTCTTAAGATCTTGTTTTGTGCAAAATCAGCTGAAAGCTGCTCCCAAGTAACACCTTTTATCTTCAGAACTTTTATGGCATAATTGTGTTGCAAGTGCCTGAAAACTCTTACTAAAACTAAGTTACAGAGATAAGAGTGTCATTTTGTCTTTTGAGATGTTCTTCTCCTTCCACAAATTGCAACTCTCATTTTTTGTTGTCGCTTCAGGCTTTGTTTGTTTTGATTTGATTAAAGTTTTACGACACTCGCAACTGCATAAGCTAATATAAGGTCTCTTTGAGACCTGATGTGGCTTGTCTGTCGTCACTGGAAGTATTATGTGTCTACGTTGTAGTTAATATTGCTCTTTTTTTATTTTGTTCAGATAGAGGTTCTTGTGCCATTTAAAACAGGCTCAGCATGGAAGGTATTACCTGATGTAATGGAAAAAGTTGTTTGTACTAAGTCATTTTGTATAGCTTCAAGAAAATGTATTGAGCACATTTTGTACTGTAGTGGCCAATATCTATTATGTGTAGTGAAGATTTTTCACTTTTCATAGTCTTTTTCATGTTTTGCAATTTGAGACGTTTTTGACATGTGTTTGTGTCCCTCTCAGCCTAGGTCGGGGCTGACTGGCAGGTTCAAAACATGGGTGGTTGGCGGTTGCTTTGGTGAGGTTTGTTCCTTCTTTCCTATCTAACATCTGTCGTCCTTATCTCCTCTCCTTCTTTTTTGCTTTTGTTACTCTCTTGTAACACCTCTAATCTTTGGCACTTATGTGATCTTATTGTATTGCAAGTGCCTTAAAACTCTTTTTAAAAAGGGTCAAGGCAGCCTTCCTCCTCAATTATCTAAATAGTTTCGATGGAGACATGAAACTTCCTCAAATACGATTACATTGAAATGTATTATGTTGGCAATAAGCAGGATTGGCTTGAAAGATTAGGTGGCCACCAGTGTCCATGTGAGGGGCAAGTGAGAGAAGGAAAGAAAAGAAGAAGTAGAAGACATAGTCTTCCTGGAGATCTGAGAATGTTTGGAATGCTGTAGGATCTTTTGCGTTGGTCATGATAGATTTCTAAAGGGCTTAGAGCCTCCATTCTGGTAGTGATATGCATAGTATAAATACAATATATGAGGCAGCGTGGTGAAATCAAGCGCTCGCCAAAATAATTAAAGTCAAGAAATTGGCATTTTCCCACAGGTTTGTGAATTTTTTCCCGAAGGTTTGTTTTTTGACTTTCATGCCCATTATAGAGCACATTTCTGTGTGTATTTTACTGAAAAACGTTGATTAAAGGCAGAAGAAATGTAAATTTTCAGTTTCCACGGACTCTCAAGCTAAAGAAATAACTCAACTTTTGCGGGCTTCTTCTAGCTAATTTTACCTCTGAAACCAGATGACCCTCATCTCCTTCAATCACACATATCTCGAATTCTATTCAACATAGATGGATATTATTTTCACCCAAAACGAGGAAAATGGACTTGCCTTAAGATGATACCATCAACTCCGTATGCCCTAAAATTGACGAGAGCCTGATTCCACTGCGTTGTGCCTCATATATTAATATTATTATTGTAATAATTATTATTATTATCATTATCATTATTATGGTCGCTATTAAAATAATTGCTATTATTATAAAGATGAAATATGCCAACTTCTTGGATTGCAGTAAAATTCTTTAGTGGGGAGGAGCAACTTGTAATACGTGGTTGAGATAATATATTAGCTGAAGGTGGAAAACTTAACTCTGTCAAAGTGTCAGTCACAGTCGGAATTCTCTAAAAATCTCACAGAAATTTTCTTGTATATTATGCTGAAAGTTGTCATCCACCTGAGTTATTTGTCTCCACATGTTATTGCATATTTCATAAGCAAGTATCGTACTTATATTTACTCCAGTACTCGGGAAACAGTAATAGCAAATTTAAACTTTTGAAGGGCTTCCAAGTGTCTTGTTTTGTCCATATCATTTCTGTTGCAATCAATCCACTTATGTCCAAGTTTTCAGAATTTTAAATATTTACACCCTTCCAAGATCTATCAAAAATGCGCCTTTCAACATGATCAAAATGCTATAACCAAGGCTTACAATTTTCTTACGTTTTATGATTCCTGATATGAACAACACAACAAAAACTAATTTTCTTTGTCTGTAATGTAAAAAGTACCCAAACGGACTTAAGTGGATTGCTTGCGACTCCGATGACATGATTTGTGACCTGTTTGTGCAGGGTATTCAGTTGTAAATAGCACTAGTGCATGTACTTAGTCGTGTAAGTCTCCATTTCTGATCCTTTCGGTTGTTCTTCTGTACAAGGCTTTTCCTTCTCTTGAGATGGTTGACATTCCGATGACAGGTTGTGAATGAAATTGTGTTGTGATGCCACATTCCATAGCTGTCTGATTTTTATTTGAGATAAATGAGCATGATAGAGTTCACTTACGAAACTCTCACACAAAATTTCTCATGTTGCTTGGCGTAGCAAAAGTGTAGACTTAGCTTCAATTTCTTTTGAATCAGTAATGTAATAAAGACAAAGTTTAGATGTTATTGCAAAATTTTTTCTAATGTCCATAATTACATTTATACAGTGTATATGTTGAAGCTATTTTATTGTACGATATCACTTGTTGTTATGCGTTGTCAATGGCAAAGAAAGTCATCTCCTGCGTAGATAAACTGTGTATTGTCGTTTCAAAGTTTAACAAAGCCATTGTGATTTTATAGTGCCTTTTTCACTGTCAGGTTGTAGTGCAGGTGATGTGCTAGTAAGTGCCAAGTGAGTTGGATAAATTGGAAGTAGAAAGTTGATTTACTTTCACTGTATTTAACATTACAAAAAGAAACATGGATGGTGGAAATGAAAATGATACTCATAACTCATTTAAATTTGGAAAAAAGTCAATGTAGTTGTGGTTTGGGGATTTTATCTAAATGAAAGACAACATTCATTAGTTTTTCCCTGACCTCTGTTCACACACAGATACACACAGGCACACAAACAATCACACACACACACACACATTTGTACTCATAAACAGACAGATACACACACACACACACACTTACACACATAAACACACACACTCACACTTGTACTCATAAACAGACTCACACACACACTTACACACAAACACACATAAAAATACACGCACACACACTCATACAGACACACACACACACACACATAGAAATACACGCACACACACTCATACAGACACACACACATACACACAAACACGGACTAAAGCAATGTCAGCTTCCAAATAGGCACAAGAAGACTCTTATATTGACACTTCTACTTGCCAACTATTTCACATGGCCAGAGTGCCCCGTCCTATCTCCCTTGTACTTGTTCATGCATTATAAATAATATTATATACAGTAGTGGTAGGTATATGTTAGATAACTTGGTGAATCAATCAGTTAACTCAGAAATAAGAACGTGTGTGTAGTCTTGTAAAAGTATTCGTAGGTAAGTAGGCCAATCAATCGATAAGCTCAAGAGTTAGATTAGAAGGAGTAGTGTGTGTATTTGTGTGTATTTGTGTGTGTTTTGTGTGCGAGGTTGTAGATGAATTGGTAGATAGCCAAGTAAATCGATCAATGATGCCGAGAATGAGAAGATGTGAGTAGTCTAGAAGAATTTACAGATAGGTAGGCAAGGCGTTCAGTAAGCTCAATCGTAATACGGTGTGTGTAGGCCTGAGAGAAAGATTCGGTAAAGTTCAAGTAAATGTCATTTTTTCAGCAGGTTGGATGGGTCTTCATCCCGATTCGAATTATATTGAGAGATGGCTTGATTGGTATTTGGAAGAGGTTGGTTTGGGGGGGGGGGGGGGAGGGAAGAGGGGATAGAGAGCGAGAGAGAGCTGGGGAAGTGGAGAGTGAGAGTATTAAATAATTTTAAAAACTTACATCAAACGGTTATCACCTTTTGACTATTTATCATCTTTTGTCTATACACATGACTTTTATAACGAAAACTTTTGATATGTATGATTTACATGTGGCCCAGGTTGTGTCCTCTTGAAGACTGATGTGTTTTTGTTATATTTAGAGTGACCTTTTGGCACATGTATGTATAGCTCTCTATGCAAGTTTTTTTGGGTCATCAGTATATGATTGCTTAATGAGAACAGCTGAAAGCCAGTTGTAAGAAAAATTTATTCCTCTATGTTAGCGTTGTGAATCTGAATATTTTATGGACAAGGCATGTTAGTGTACATTTCCTTCGCTTTTAAAAGTTTTTATGAAGTTTACCTCAGTGTACGGTATAGGCTACATCTTTTATAAAAAGGCAATTTGATCTTATTTGATCAATATATTCACTGGTTGTGTCACCATTTAAAAAAACAAATATTTGAAAGGTGTTCTGTTTCTAATCCATGTGCCTGGAACTGTTTACAAACTCGGCCATCGTGCAGAATTATGAGTCCAAGTTGGTGTCCAGATTGATCTCTTTCTGAGGGTCTGGCCAAGTATTAAATTTTCTCCCAGCTGGGAGTGTGTTGTGCCAGGTGTGTGTTCTACTGGTGCAGCTGCCGTTTCATCGATAAGGAGGACAGAGATTGGCCTACCTATTGAATGCTGACCTCTGTTTCCATCAATTTAATGTGTGGAGCAGGCTAAATTCCTGTTCTTGTCGTGTGCACTTTTTGAGTGGGTGGTTGATGGGTGCTCTGGTGTGGTCTTCTCCTTCTTCCCCATCAGACATCTGTCGTCCTTATCTCTCTTCATTTTTTTTGGTCTTTGTTACTCTCTTGTAACATCTCTAATCTTCGGCACTTATATATGACCTTATTGTGTTGCAAGTGCTGTATACATAAAACGCTTACAAAAGCAAAATACTTTTTGAACACTGCCCTTTACTGCTGTCTGACGCATTTGGTGTTTAATTTTAGTGTTTACAAAAAATACAAATAGAATTTGTTTTGACTGTTCTGGAGTCTGTACATCATGGTTCACTTGGTTTCTCTCAGATACATTTACAATGATGCTTCTTGTGATATGGCAGTATCGTCGCCCAAGTACAACAACCCTGTTTTACACAAAAACAAAATTTTAAAGGGAGAAAGGAAAAAAACTTTGTCATTTCATCTAACAATGTTTGTTAAAAATTAAAGTAGGAATTTTGCACTGGCGATGTTTATTGAGTTACATGTCTAAAAATTTGGCACAAAATCCGAATCATTACTTTGAGTAGAAAAAAGCAAAAAATGTATTTTTTGACATAGTGTGGGTTACAGGTTTGTTGCACTCAGGCAACAATTTACAAATCATGTGAACATTTCTTGTAGTTGTAGTTTCTCTTTTCTTCCCTGCCATCTTTAACTCCGTACCAGTACTTCATTTCTCCCAGTCTTCTTGTTGTTTCCGAGTAATATGTGGTCATGTCGTTGGAAAACTGAAAATGTGACTAGCTTTTGAATAAATTAGAATTCCGATTTCAGTAGGATGCCCTTTTTTAAATGGTTACACTGACAAAAAAACTTCTTATCTCGAAACAGCTGTATATAAAAGAAAGGCGTCTTGTCAGCTTATGGCAGCATTGCTAGTAGTTGCTGTGGTTACAGATGGGGACGGGGGAGGAGATATTTTATGTCATGATCAGTTTTTCCCATTTTCCGTCTGAGAAAATTTCTACTTTCTGTCTTATATCTTGACTGGGAGTCAATTCTGTGCCTTTGACGTGGATGCATTGTGTCTTGTTTGACCTGAAACTTCACAAACACAAAAAAATCACTGTGCTCATTTTTATGTCAACATACTCATTTCTCTCTATAAGATTTAATGTACGAGTATACCTCACATTAATTTGTGACAGGAAACTCGTAAACTTTGAATCTTTTGTTTTTACAATCATCGTCTTATTTCGTTTCCCTCTGACTGATCATACTTCGTAATACATGTGGGAGAAGTTTTATTTTCTAAGTGAACAATCAGCAAATTTATAGAGTACCTGTTCATAAAAATTTATTAAAAACACTTGTATTTTTGTATGAATATGTTTTACCTTTTCAACAAAGTTTTGATATTATCTTTGCATTTACTAAATATTCTTGTGGGTGGTTGGAGGACATCATCACAGGGAGGCCCTACTACTTTTTTTTTAACATTCATTTGTTTTTGTCTGTATATCTTGTATTCTACTTTCCCTAATGTGGCCATGTGCTTCACAAACTCAAAATGATGGAGGGTTTTAATTGTTTTTTTTGTTTTTTGTTTTGACTGGCCCATGTAATGCTGAAAGATTCCTTCTTTATTGGTGACAGGTCAGTCTCTGCACTGGACAGAGACAGCCTTTTTTTCATGGGACTTATTTTTTAAATTTGAAAATATTTGGTTTTTTTTACCTGTAGCTCCATATTTATATTACGCTGTTAAAGTCAAATGTACATTTATTTGCAGATGTTCTTGTGTCAATGTTAAAAGTTCTGTTGATTTATCGTGACTCTTTATAACCAGTAGAAAGAAGACAAAACACTCTTGTAAATAGACCATTTACTTGACTCTTATCTCAAGACTTGCTTTGTGGCTGTAGAGAGAGACGGAAATGTGTGGATGTCTCATCAGTCGTATAATAATGATGAAACTTGTGACTATGCAGTAGTAGTATCTTGATCTAACAAACACGTTCTTGTAATTAGACCGTTCACTCTACTTCTATTTCAAGATTTTTGCTTTGTGACTGTGGAGAGATGGAAATGTGTGGATTACTCATCAACCATTACTTAAGTGTTGAAACTTCAGACTATGCAGTAGTATATAATATGTCCAAGATCTCTTTCTTTTTTTTTTTTAACACTTTACTGTGCCTTTGCTTATCATTCCAATAAAGCCCATTCCTATGAACTCTTTAATTTGTTTTTGCTTGGTTTTGTTTAATTTTCTCAGCTTAAAATCTTTGAAAATGCAGGCGATTGATAGATGGTGTCGGAAGTACACCCTGGTTGAATGTCTGCCTCCTGTTGAGTGGGTGGTTGGCGGGTGCTCTGGTGTGGTTTGTTCCTTTTTTCCTATCAAACGTTTGTTACTCTCTTGTAACATCTTTAATCTTCGTTACTTCTATGACCTAATTGTGTTGCAAGTGCTATAAAACTCTTACTTAAAAATTATGCCCGTGTTTATCTTATATCATGTGGTGTAGGTAGCCTAGTGGTTATGCCACTGGATCAATAATCGCGAGATTGCACATTCGGGGGGTTTGAGACTCAACTTGGACTGATGTGGTGTCCTTGGTAAAAGCAATTTTATATAAATTTCCCATTTGGCTTGGTCTTTTTGGAGATGAACATTACACTCTGGAGGTCCCACCTCTTAAGTAGCCTAGTACTAGTAGTAAAAGTACTAAATGCGTTGATAGGGGCGTTACACCTATACCATTTCGCCATTTTCACCATCTCATATCATCTAACCATAGATCAAAACAAAACATGAATTTATTTACAAGATGCATTTATTGTCAAAATGACAAAGCTCTTTAACAATTTACTGAAAATATTGTGGGTCTGCGCCTTAAAAAGTCCACATTTTCCAGGAAAATAATTCAAGAGAACATTTCGTCGTCCATGATACGTACGAGCGTAGGCGACATTTTGGGCCAAATCAAGTTAGAATCATCAGGCAAGTCCTTAACCTATACTCTATCGCCTCTAGAATTCTGGTATCGATACCATTAGCCGTTACAGAGTTGTTAATGTTTTTCAAACTAGCATATCCATCATTTTGCAGTGTTACCAAAAATCTCAAACTGCTCTCCTGAATAATTAGCAAAATGTCGCTTATGCAAGTACGTGATTGAGACGTCAATTTTGTCCCCATTTCCATCAAGTTGTGACGACATCAAAAATGCCAAACCAGTTATATAGAGGAACTATCTACGAGTTGTGAGAGAGTAATAGCAAAACTAAATTTTCTCCGTGCCAATAGGAATACAGTCGAACCTGCTCTAACAACTGCCTGTCCAAGACATTCACCTATACAAAATGGCTACTTGCCACTTCCCCCCTTGCGTTCTTTTTCTATTTAGGAACGACCGTTTTCAAAAAGACCACCTGTGTAAAATGGCAACTTTCTCTTTGACAATAGATGGTTGTCTTGAACAGGTTTGAAGGTACTTCAAAGTATACATTCAAATATACATGACATGTGACCACACAGTTACATAATTTTGTGCTAATTATGGGGTGGGCTGGCGGTCTGTAACATATAACAGGTGAAAATGATATGGTAAAAGCGAAACGTGTTTTATGAGGCTCAATAGAAATGGAAGATAATAGAGAGCCCTTGGTTCCCCTCACTGACAGGTATCTGTGGTGTAGAGGTTAGGCATTTCGCTGTCTTACACAGGAGACCCAAGTTTGGTTCCCGAGTGGGTAGAAACATTTTATCGAATATGTCAGGTCTTTCTGCTGGGATGTTGTATCCCTCTTAGTCTGGGTTGGCATTGACAGGCAGGGTCAGAAGACTGCCTCCTAATTGATCTAAGTTGTGTCGCTGGGGGCATAAAAACACTCACATCTAATAAGAAAAAAGTTTACCTCTCACCGATATCCACTGCAAGACACATAGGGCCCTGAGACAGGAAATGCCGCCACTCTCATTGAAATCTACAAGAGAAGCTGTAAGGGCCGACAGAAGAACTGAGCAGTACGGCTCAGTATATGATAGATATCAAGACTTCAAGTGTGATGCTACCCAAAAGAAGAAGCAGACTGATATCTAATACAGACAGCATCAATGACAGAGAACAGTGTAGTTGTATCTCAAGACTTGGTAACAGCTTGGTTCAGACATTTTACTCCAGTAAAACTTTAAGCCTTTACATATTCCAACTCATTTTTTAAGTACATGTAATTCAGTATCCGGTAAGCTCTGAAATATTGAAGCCAAGATTTTTGCGTTATTAAATAACAATTCAATCAATATTAATGATGATTGTCTGTAAAACTATTGCAATGGAAAAACAAATGGTGCATTATTCATAAAACAGACCTGCTCTTTTAGCGGCTGAAAAATTGGGAGTCATTCTAAGCAAAACTTTGAACTGTGGCAGGACTGCTGCCGACCCGTGCACGTGGTGTGAAGGTAACGCTCTCCACAGACACACGCAGAAAACGCGAGCTCCATTCCTGTGTGTAGTAGTTATTTTATCGAATATCGCCATCTGCCCGTTCTGACGGTGTATCTCACTGAGCCTGTGTCGGTCCTGACAGATCAGGTTGAAGCAGCCAACCTCCTAAATGGTTATCTTAATGGGGTGTAAACATGAACAATTATAGACAGCATTTGTATAGTGCAACTTCCCGCTCAACAACAGCAAGCTCTACGCACTTTACATTTTTTAAAATAACACTCCTTGCCGATTCAAGAAAGATATGGCAGTTAGGGCTAGTTCTATTTTTCCCGTTCCCTCAAAATTAACAAACAAGACATGCATTTCGGTACTCATTGATGATTATGGACAAACATATGACAGTCCTTGCCAGAATTTCACACAATCTTCACAATACACAAACTCAATCTACTGTAGGATCAGGCTTATAACTGCATTGATGTGCTCTGGAGACACCTGACTCCCACTTTTCAGTCCTTCGTTCCTTTTCAGAATCTCACTGTAGTGAGAATGTAATGGAGAACAAAAAAATGAGATGGTGATGTATGTGATTGACAACAAAAATACAACTTTGTGCATGAGGACTATGTAAGGCACTGCAGGGTATTCATTGATATTATGCAGAGGTAGACCGATCTCGATGTTCATCTCCAGACAATCAACGGTGATGATTAGTGAATGATCGCAGAAAGACAGGCACAGGATGACTTGGATATTGTGATCAAGCACAAGACTAGGGTCATCTGAAAAAGAAGAACAGAATCCAAGTTTTCACATTGAGCCTTAGAAATGAAAGCCAAAAATGTGTAAATGGTACAGAATAATATAATGCTATGGTACTTGCAACGCTGTAAGATTGTTTAAAAGGCAGGACCTATGAATTTAGCGTCCAGCTCTGACTGAAGTTAGGACCAAGCCTAATGGCAAAATTAATGTAAAGTGACTTTCCCTAGGACACAACATCAGATCAAGCTCACTCCAACTCCCAAACTTGAAGGAGATGAAGGAGGAGGAGAAGGAGGAGGAGGAGGAGGAGGAAGAGAAGGAAGAAGAAAAAATAGATAAAAAAGGAGGAGGAGAAGGGAAAAGAAGAAGAGAAAGATAAAAGATGAAAAAGTAAAAGGAAGGGGAGAAAGATTGAAAAAAGGAGTGGGAGAGGAATAAAAACAAAGAAGAAGATCATCAGCCTCGAACCTGACCAAAATCAAGGTATGCCCAAAGAGGCTCTAAAACTTTTCCCTACCTGACGATCAGAGGAATAGGTCGGAGCACACCGTCTTCCACTCCTCTCTCATACTCGTCCACATCTGCTAGATCCTCATCAAGAGAACGGGTCAGATGTTGTAGAAATGCATCAAGGGCCTGTCAGGAAGAAACACATACCATGGGTGAGACAAACAATAAGTGACTTCAATAGATTGATAGCGTAAGATAAAAAAAAAAGTTAGAAGTTTAACCGTTTCATGACTTATTTGACATAAGCCATTCATCATTTTTTCTCATAATGCGGAAGAGCCAGGATGCCGTTGTGACTCGTGACTCATGCGTTTGTCAGGCCTTGTAAAGCAGATTTTCGTTGTTTGGCTCAACACCTTTATGTTCACTTAAAAACACATTTCTGAGTCAATTTTACTTAAAAACATTGATTAAAGGCACAAAAAATGAAAATTTACTGTTTCCAAAGACTCTTGAGCTGTGAAAGTCACCAAACTTTGGCAGCCTCTATCTTGCCAATTAAAGGCATAAAATATGTACATTTTCAGTTTTCAAGTACTCTCAAGCTTTTGAAGTTACCAAACTTTGCCGCCCATTTTCTTGTTGATCTTTCCTCTGAAATCAGCCGATCCCCACCTCCTACATTTTCAAATATCTCGACTTCTATTCAAGATAAAAGGGTATTTCTTTCATCAAAAGCAAGGCAAATGAACAAGCTTACAGTACTTACACATGACATCAATAACTCCACATGCCCCAAATTGACAAGCGCCTGATTCCACCACGTCGTTACACAAATGGACAAAAAACGCATGTAGAATACAGACCACGAATAGGGACAAAGATAGTCCTATAGAGGAGGATTAGAAAAAAGATGGCAGGCCAACATCAAACAATGAATGGGTACAACCTGGGCACAGAAAACAGCTGATGAAACAGAGTAGAGGTCGTTGTGGGAGGGCTACATCCTGCAGTGGGTGGACAACGCCTTGAAAGAAAGAAAAAGCTTACCACATCAGACACAACTTTCTCATGTAATTTATGCAGAGGTTTGCACTCAGTCGTTTTGTCTCTCTGCTTCTGAACGTTCAACATCTGGCCAATGTCGATGCTCAGGATCAGATCTGAAAACAGTGGGACACAATAACAGTCATCCAAAACTATCAGGTGAAAAACGCAACAAATGCAAACCACATAGAAAATAACAGAGGGATTGTACAGAAGTCTGATACAATAATAAAGACCACAACAAAATAACGAAAGAAACAAATCACAGATATACAGCCGAACCTACTCTAAAGACCACTTGTCCAAAGACAATCACTTGTACAAACAACCACTTCCCACTTCCTGCCTTGTCAACCCAATTCACCTTACGTTGCCGCACAACGCCGCCAAAGCCCTCTTTTGATAGGGAACCTGAAAGTGCTCTGTTGTGGTTTACTCCTTTTCTATCGTATATTGATTGTCAATATCGGTCCTCTTTTTTGTCTTTGTACCTTATTCTCAAGTAAAATCTCTAATCTTTGGCACTGATATGACCTGATCATGTTGCAACTTCCATAAAACTTTTATTAATTAAAACAACCCCCCAAAAAAAAAAATGTCTGTTAAGTGATAATCCTGTTCTTCCTGTGCGCTCCTCACATAAATAATATTGTTGACCTGCTGTTCAGCTGCATTAAGTTCAAAATTTTGACAATTTAAAATAAACTACAGTTCCTTAATCTTGTTGCATGTGATGGAGAAATAACATTTTATAAAAAGCAAAAATCAGAATCTTAAGGGTGAAAAAATAAACAGTTCAGAAAAGAATCATAATGTAGGTACAATTTTAAAAAGAATGATTCATTGCTTAAATTTTTATTTGTAGTGTGTTAGTAAGTACTGATACGTTTTGTTTTTACTGTTGTCTTTACGTGTATATAATTAATGTACGGCTGAGAAAGTTCTTTAAGCCATTAAACTGGTTTCCTTGTTACTGTGAAATGTTTTATCTCGTGTGAAAGAAATATTACGCTCAGTGATCATTTGATCAAGGTAAAGCACTCAAAGCTTATACTACTCATGTGGGAAAGAACGCTATATAAATGCAGTCTATTATGATTATTATTGTTATTATTATTATTATTTTTTTTTTTTACTCTCTCCTGAAAAGTTTTACTTTCTGGGCTGAAAACAAATGAACAGCTGGCTAAGGATATCTTTTCCTCAACTGACCATCCAGGTACTTGTTATGATGATCAGCTTCTGTCCACAGTTTGCCTTGCTGCGACATAAGATTCAGGATATACTCCATTATCACCACATCTGCTAGTTTGTTCTTGGCTTGCATCGACACCTGTGAAAAAAACACACACCCCAAAAAAATTAGTTGAACCTGATTTAGCAACCACCTGTCCAAGACAATCACCTGTACAAACAACC